TGAGACAATTGTTTTGGATATGCTCTGCAATCAGTAACGTATGCCCCATACAGATAATCTTAAAAATCTTGATTATGGCAGACAATTAGCCATATATATGATTCCATTTATATGAAATATCTGGAATAGTAAGTCCAGAGAGGCAGAAAGCAGATTGATGATTGCTCAGAAACTGAGGGGAGGGGGGAATAGAGAGCGATAGGGGTTTTCTTTTTGGGTGATAACGTTTTGGAAGTAAATACAGGTGGTTGTTATACTACAATGTAGGTTCAAAGGTCACTGAATTGTACACTCTAAAATGATTAATTTATATCATGTGAATTTCACTTCCATAAAAAAGAATTCCTGATTAATCCAGAGACTTCAAGGGACTAAACCCTATCTGCCATCCAAAGCTCTCAAGTTCAAGCACACCAGAGGTAAAGAGGCCAGCCTCACCTACAAAAACTAAACCTGGATCTTACTCTGTTGTGAAAGAAGATTTTGGATGCTGCAAAAAATTAAATTTAAATTAGAAAGCTTGAACTACAATGAAACTAGTATTTATGGTTTGGCCCACCCGTTACCTGGTACTGCCTACTCACTACGAGCCAGCCCTTCCGACAGTTAGAGAAAGCCCTGGCCAGGTGACTCGGTTGGTTGGAGCACCATTCCATACACCAACAGGTGTGCGTGTTCAACTCCCAGTCAGGGCACCTATCTAGGTTTTGGGTTTGATCCCTGGTCAGGGTGCATATGGGAGACAACCAATTGATTTTTGTCTTCCTCTATCTCTCTCTCTCTCAAAACACACACACACACACACACACACACACACACACACAAATAGGGAGAAATCAATTGGCTTAAGTAGAAAAAATGTCCTATCATTTTATTAAATAAAAAATTGTATAGGTGCAAAACCTTTGAAAACATTATCTTGTTAATTCTCAGAACCACAGATGTATTGAACAGCTTACAGTTGTGAAGTTACTTAATATCACATCATTAGTAAGTGTCATGATAGGACTGGCCATGAAACATACCCTCACTCTTTTATATTAAGATGAACAGGATCACATAAATACAAATTTTATTATACCTGGAACAATGTTGATTTGAGATCTAGGAGTTATGTGCATAAATGATATATTTTTAGTTTCTATGTGGCAAGAGAGAAATTATTCCTGCTCTATGCCATTTGAACATATGGTAATTCTTATGAATTGTATTTTAATTATAAGTTAAATTCACTGCAGACTGGTACAACCACTATGGAAAGCAGTATGGAACTTCCTCAGAAAACTAAAAATGGATATGCCTTTTAACCCAGCAATTCCACTCCTGGGACTATATCCTAAGAACACTAAAACACCAATCCAAAAGAACCTGTGCACCCCGATGTTCATAGCAGCACAATTTACAATAGCTAAGTGCTGGAAGCAACCTAGATGCCTATCAGTAAATGAATGGATCAAAAAACTATGGTACATTTACACAATGAAATTCTATGCAGCAGAAAGAAAGAAGGAGCTCCTACCCTTTGCAACAGCTTGGATGGAGCTGGAAAGCATTATGCTAAGCGAAATAAGCCAGGCAGTGAAAGATAAATACCATATGATCTCACCTTTAACAGGAACCTAAACAACAAAACAAAGAAACAAGCAAAATATAACCAAAGACACTGAAATAGAGGACAGGCTGACAGTGACCAGAGGGGAGAAGGGAGGGAATTTCAGGGGAGAATGGGAAGAGTTTACAGGAACAAATTTAAAGGACACATGGACAAAAACTAGGGGGAGGGTGGTATTGGGAGGAAAATGGGGAGGGTTGGGTGGGTGGGCTGGAATGGGAATAAAAGGGAGAAAACTGTACTTGAACGATGATTAAAAAATTAAATTAATAATTTATAAATTATTGTACCTTGATCAATTATTATTTTATGTCAGATCTTTCAGTCTCAGTTTCTCTAAGATAATAGTAACATAAAAGAGCATATTTGTTTCACTTTATGAAGTTAGAGATTATTTTGCAGCAAAGAAATTGGTTTCTCTTAACCAATTAAGCAGCTGTCACTCATGATTTTATATAAACATTTTTGTAGTAATTTTTGTTTTCAACACCTATTGATTTTGATGTTAATATTACATATTTCATAAGCTTGTCTGTGTAAAAGTAATGATACAAATAAGCTTATCCCCAAAGTCTCATCCATTTTTGAGAACAGGTGGATACATATGTGGGTGTAATTTTATACAAATGGTAGCAATGTTTTTCTGTGCATTTCTTTTTCTTTTTTTTAAAAGATTTTATTTATTTATTTTTAGAGAGGGAAGGGAGGGAGATAGAGAGAGACAGAGAAACATCAATGTGCGGTTGCTGGGGGTTATGGCCTGCAACCCAGGCATATACCCTGGCTGGGAATCGAACCTGTGACACTTTGGTTTGCAGCCCACGCTCAATCCACTGAGCTATGCCAGCCAGGTTGTGCATTTCTAATTTATCTTTTTTGTGACTCCTGGGTTTGACCACTTAGGACAGAACAACATATTAGTAAACAGTATATCATGATGCAGCTGATACCGCAATGGTCATCAACCCCTTAAATATGATTCAGGTTATTCTCCATTATAACATTTCCACATACTTGCTCAAATCTCATCTGTTACTTTTCATTAGGGATTCAGGGGAGGAAGTGAATCTCACACAAATTTATGAGATCATTCTGAATTCAGTCTTTATAGATTGTTTCATAAATTTAATAAAGTACTCCATAAAGCTACACAGTATAGATGTATGGCTAAGTAAACATACAAAACAAAGGAAAAGAACAAAAAAAAAAAACCCCACTAGAGATAGAAAAAAAATGCAGGACCTCTGGGTTAGGAAAATACTAGAACCTCATTGAAAGTGATTGGACAAATTGAAAAAAAGCCACTATCAACTTTTTTTTTTTAATTTGAGGGTTTGAAGTGAAGTGAGGCTTGATTTGTCAACAGGAAGATATGGGCTTTGCACCTCTATATATAAATGCTTGCTTTTTCCAACTTAGGGTCTGCCCAGAAGTTGTCATTTGACTGATGCTTCTGACTTTGCTTGGGTAGCTTTAAAAAGAACCTGTGGCCACCTGTTTCTCCACCACAGAGAAACTCAACAAGGCACTTTCGCTGATGTTTGGTTGGTGAAAATACTAAAAGATACAAGGATTTCAATTTTTGTAAAGATTTAAATTTATTTTTAGAGAGGGAAGAAGGCAGGGAGAAAGAGAGGGAGAGAAACATCAACCAGTTGCCTCTTGCACACCCTCAGATGGGGACCCCTACAACCCAGGCATGTGCCCTGACTGGGAACTGAGCCAGCAACGTTCTGGTTTGAGAGAGACTGCCCAATTCACTGGGCCACACCAGTCAGGGTAAGGACTTCAATTTTCACTGGAATGTTGTGTTTTCAACCAAATCTTTGCCTCCCTGAGTTTACAGAACTATAAGTTCAATCCTGCCTGTCTTCCACTGTGCTTCTGATATACTCCCATCATACCCTGTAATGTTCCAGATCTCTCGGGATCTCTTCCCCACACTTGCCAAATTCCCTTCTTCCATACAGGTTTGTGAATTCCCATCTTCTAGCCTCCTGGTTCGCCTGCCCTGATGACAACCTGTCATTACTTTCCCATCTCCTTATCCCTCGTTTGGTGCTCTTGTAGCTTCTTTTCTGTTTCTTCTCAGATTTCTTTCTTCACTGTGTTATAGTTGCTTCACTACCAAAGGAAAGGGGGAAGCTTAGAGGTTACAAGTTACTTGCACCTTCTGACCACGTATGAAGTATTTGGTTAAACATTCAGCTTTTGCCACAGCACCCTGAAGCAGAGGAGGGCGGAGCTTGTGGCTAGCAATATATACTGCTTGATGTTATCAAAAGTAAGGCTCAGAAGTGAAGAGACCAGCTGGGGTTTACACCTTCCACCCGCAAGTCAAAAGAATACTCAGAGAAAGTGTGCATGGAACTATATTTAGAAAGCACAGTGCACACTTGAATTTCCAGAACTTGTTCATTCAAGGAGAAGAGTTTTATTCAATCATAAGTGTGAAATATGTAAAAAGTAAGGCTCAGGGCCGGATCAGCTCAATTTTGGAAGGTAAGGGTAAACCTTATGGGTGGGCAGATAGGCTTGCTATCTCTTCAAGGTGCCAGGAAGGTATTTGATCCCCCCAAAGGCCTAACTTTTAACCAAATCTTTTCATTGCAACATTAAAGATTCATAGGTTTGATTCAAGTAATTCTTTCTCATCAAAATATAAGTTCCTTGCTTGAGAATGTTGTCATTTGCATTCACCAGGAAAAGGAATAGTATTAATACCTTACAGAGTAAAAGGTGTTCAAATCTTTTCATGTTTTTGTGAGAGGCACAAGGGAAGAAAACTAGGGCATCAGGGACCCGAAATGGGTCAAGGGTAAAAAAAAAAAAAGAAATGGAGGTGAACAGAATTCTGCCAGTGGGGAAGAGAATACAGAGTGAAAGAACTAGGACCAAAAACAACCCCTTAGAAACTTTAACCTTAGGGGAAAGCTATAAGGGAAAATAAGACTTTATAAGGATGAGGAAAGAAAGGCTGGGAAGTGAGTTAGAAATGTTGGTTTACATGTCAAGAAGAGTAAAACAGGTAGAGAACATAAGGACACAGAAATGGCAAAATACAGGAATTTGATCACGCAAAAGAGAAGTGAAAATAAGGCATGAAACTTCACCTTGCAAGACAATTGGTTCTGAAGGGGGCACAAAAGAAAAAGAATCTTCTGGTGAAATGAGGAAGGGCCATATCTGGAGGAGGGTAAATAAATTTGGAAAGCTGGAGTGAAGAAGGGCACATTGGAGAATAGTGGAATAGAGAAATTTGAACAATATTGGTATTTAGTTTTCAGAGTGGGATAAAAGCATGAATTCAGGGGTTATTTCTAAACACAGAATAGAAGAAATAATCAGACACAACACTTCTCTCTTCTGAGAAGGAAATTACAAAAAATTATTTTAAATTGTTTAATTTGCAATATACATAATACTGGGATTGAGGTGCTTTCTGATGGGAATGCAACCTCTCGTTCAATATGGAATAGGAAGGTCAAGTTCATGAAGATGTTCTGACATGATTCTTGGAAACTCTGTGCCTTTGAGATTTCTCTACAGTGGCTACAATATGCATTTAATATATCTGTCTGTATATGAGTACATTTACTTCTGGAGGCTGTGGAACAGAGATTACACACTTTGGGGCTTTTTCTAACATTTTTTTAAAACCAGTTGTACAAATTCCATTAAGCTAAATTGCTCCTTAACAGCAAGAATCCAATCTTCAATTGGGTAGTTATCTCAGCAATGGGAAAAAAATTCACTCCCTACCAAATGGCATTCTGTCGTATGTAACTGGTTGTCTCTAAGTCCCCTAGTTTCCATTTCAATTCCATCGGCTTTTTAAGATGGTTACTGAGTTATTCAGATGGAAGGTCCATACTACACAGTTTGCCACTTATACTGGGATCTTGTCCTATTATATTGTGGATCACTATCCATTTAATGTAGGATATTTTCCCCCTTGTAAAGTAGACATGTTCATTGTGAATTAGACTGCATCAGCTCTAGGTTTCAAGAAATATGAACAATGCATTTAAATCTTGAGAATCATAGAATTAGAAGAAACCTTAGAACAAGTGTAAATTAAACCTTCTTATGTTAAAGACAGGGAAATTAAACCAGGGCCTGATGAGGGAACATGACTTATCTGAGGCTACCTGGTTACAGCTAGACCCAGGATAAGGCTGTGTATTGTCTAAAAACTGTTTCATTTACTCTTTTTTTTTTTTTTACAAACCATTAGGTAAACTTTATGCCTATGTCTTAAAGTTCAGATCTGAATGGCTTTTTTAGGCCCCAAATCAGGCTATTCCAGAATCTGTTTGCATAATAATTTCTAAGGATTTTGGTTAAGTGGGAAGAATGGAAGGAGGAGGAGTAACTCAGATACTCCGACCAGTGATACGGTCTGACATTAGTATTCTAATTAATTGTGGAGGTGGACTAACCCCAATACTACCATAAATGAGTAAGAAAATGAGACTTACTTCCCAGCCTGACTTGCTGATTAGACAACTGCATAAAAAATTGAATAAGAATCATGAGTCCAGGTTCTTTATCTGGCCTGTTCCTCTCTCTTTAGCTTAGCCTCTGAGCTTAGCAGAAGACATTTTGGGGCTTTATATATTGTTAGTAGGATTATATAACTCTAGGCTCTGGAGAATTTTTTAGGAACAATTATCATGATGCTTTTCATAAAGAGGACTTTGCCAGACAAATATTATGACAATCAGTAAAAAGTTAAAAAGGACTATAATATCACAGACAAATGGGGAGTTAATCTTGGTAACTCTTAAGATGAAAGTTCATGGAGTTCTATGGCCAAAATAGACAGTAACAATTCCTTCTGTCCTAAGATCTAGCTCAGATAGATTCAATAGTAAATATTATTAACCATAAGTTTGTTTTTCCTGGAAATTGTACATAGAATATTTATATATAAGCCACCTGGTCATCATTTATCTACTATGTCTATGATATTGGGAAGCAGTAAAACCACGCAATAATATAGACTTTGTGTTGTGAGTGCCGGAAATGAGATAAATGTTTCTTTGGGGGAAAAATCGGAGAGTAGGGGCAAAAGCGAAATACTCGGTTAGCTGACAACGGTTAGACAAGGAGTTCCCTCTTCGTAGAGCATTCTCTTCCCAACCGCACATTTTTCTTTTTTCCACTTCCTTGATGATCACAGACCACTGGGTCTCTGCAAATTCACATTTTCACAGGGAGGAAGTCGGAAGTAGTTGGAGCGCCGGAGTCGCCTTGGGGGCAGACCAGCCATCTGCCGGCAAATCTCATCTAGAAAAGAAGCAGAGGGTGATGGGATAAGAATGGAGAAAGATCCCAAGGGCTCATATTTTAAGAGAACGAGAAGACTCCAGTGTTGTGGAGTGAAAACAGAGAGAAATAGATCTGAGTTAGAATCCCAGCCCTGCCACCTACTAGTTATTTACCACTTACTAGAAAGTTTCTTAATTTTTTTGAACGTCACTATCCTTTCCTGTAAAATAAGTATTAAAATACCTGCCTCATCAGTTTAGTTGTAGTAAAGTGAAACAATGTATGCAAAGTACCTAGCACAGGTGGTCAGTCAATGTTACTTTCCTTTATACATTTAGCTCATACTTTTTCTATTCAGTGACTTATTGAGTAGCAAAAAATGAGGTCCAATCACTATATATTTAAGTGTTTACCTTGTACAAATAGCTAACTTAACTAAGTCCCCAGAGACACTTGAAAGTGCTTAGAGTCCCCAATACTCATCCTCCATCTCAAGGTGCTTCCCTTGCAGGTGTCTTGCACAGAACCATTGGGGACAAGCAGCAAATTTCCTTCTGCGAAGTTAAGTACAGCTCTTACTCAGCAACTCAGTGCAAGGCGGGCTGCTGAGTCAGAAGTGGCCTGTCTGTGGTACCCTCTCCAACCACAGCCACCTTTGGGGGCAGGCAATGGGGAAGGTGAGAAGTATTTTTGTTCCCACAATACATGGTAACACAGTTTTGACCCTTTTGTTTTTATAAAGTCTCTCTACCTTCCTTTACCTTGAGAATTTCACAATGAGCAATGTAAAAGGTACTTTGGAAGTGGTAGATTGTTTATAATATAGCTGGTTTCTAAGTGCTCAGTCTATTTCTAATTGAATTATGTGTTTTTTGTTTGTTTATTCTTTTGAGTTACAAACATGGGTGCAGACTAGTAGAATCTATTATTTGTAATGGCTGACTTGCCCTTTTTACCTGGAACCCCAGTGAATGATCTTCAATACAACCAGAGCTTCAGAAATCTCTATCTTTGTCCAGGAGAGATTGGGAGTTACAGTCTAATTGGAAAAAGATCTGGGAGTACTTTTTGTAGGGTTATGTTTCTATATTAAAATGCTGTTTTATTTGGATTACTTATTTGTGGTAACTTGGTTGAACGGGGACTGATGGAAGTTAGGCGGGTGGTCAAAAGGCCTCCTCCAAAGCCAGACTTGGGATCAATTAACATTGTGTCCTTATTTAACTCTATCATAACTGTCCCTTCCTCCACCAAAAACACAGACATCATCTTACCTTTCATAGCTTCATGTTCTTTACAGACAAGACGGGAGCAGATCTCATTGTTGATGATGTACATGCGTCGTAAACTGCCATAGTCCCAATGTCATAGTTAAGGAAGGAGACAGAAAGAAGCATTGAGAAGAAGAAATAGCCTAAGCCTAGGATGCCTCTTTAATTCCTGTATTCCCCACTCTTCTTTATCTGAATTTCCTAATTATTTCAGAAAATGGTATTACTCTCCTTAGTGACACTTTGCACAAATTTAATACTTTCTCTTTCCCACTATTTTCTACCTTCAGACTTGGATCTTTCATTTCAACCCTTTTTTCTATGAGGTAACAAATTCAATGTACTTGTGTTTCTCTCACGACTGTCCTTCTTCTAGCCCTTTTTATTTGCCCTCTAGCACCTGGACTTGTTAGTCAGCCTGTTTTCTGTATACCTCCACCCAGGCTCCAGGTTCTATCTGGTGCCTTCAGGAATAGCTAGGAGGGTTATGCTAAAATCTTCTGCCCCTCCATAATGAGTAGCCACTGTGGAAGACTGAAATTCTGTAGTGGCTACTCATTGAATAATTGCCAATATGAAAGCACTATCATGGAAGATGCTCTCTTGGTATTCTGGGGTCTCTTACCTGGTAAAGCATAACTGATGAACGCATTGCTTGATTGGCCGATGCACAGAGTAGAGTCTTGTGCAAGCAAATTTCTCATCCCGGCAGTCTGAAGGAGCTTGGCACAAAAAAATAGGGAGAAGCATAACAAACAAGAAAAATACAAACAAAGGATTAAAGGGATGGAGGAGGACAGATAAAGTGGGAAAAACATACAGAGTACCTTATTTTTCAGACTGTAAGACACATTCCCCCCAATTTGGAAGGAAAAGGGGGTATGTCTTATAGTCTGAATGTAGCTTACCTGGCTTGCTGTGGGGGAGCCGGGGGGCAGTGGAGCGGGGTCACAGGTTATTAAATATTTTACCACAGTTTTTGCTTCAAATTTTTTTCCTATTTTCCTCCTCTAAAACCTAGGTGTGTTTTATGGTCTGGCATGTCTTATAGTCCTAAAAATATGGTAGTCTCTACAGAGAATCATAAGTTGGGGTACTTCCTTCCTGGTCACCAAAGCAGAGTAATAGGAAATTTACTAAAATGAAATTTAGGTGCTTCCCTACCTGCAAGCAGAAGTGGCTAAAATAATCTCTGAGGGCTCTTCTAGGTAAAAGTCCTTCTAGGGTTATCCAGGTGAAATTTCAAACCAAAATGCTAATAATCCTATTCTGAAGAGCGAGAGTTCTAAGATAGGCAACTATTTTTCAACCCTAGCTGCACATCAGAATTAGGGTACGTTAGAGAAAGCAACTTTAGCCTTGATGTCTATAGTAATACTGAGTCTTTGCAGTCAGTTCCCAATGCCCTAACCAAATAAAGTCCAAAGGATTGTTTTGGGATCATGCCAACAGTGGTTCAATCTTTTGACCATGACTTTTAGGACAGGAGCTCATATCAAAATGCAAAGGTAGAGGTAGAGGAGAAGAATAAAGGATACTAAAAGTATTCTTTGAGAACAATGGGAAGTAAACTAGATGATATACCCTCCAAAGAACAGGAAGGTAAGGAATCCTCAGGAAGAAAAAAAAGTTTAGAAAAAAGACATGCAAAAAACAATTATACCTGTGACGTTAATTTTATCATTGGGTGAGGCTGGAAGGAAAAAATTTTATTCAGTTATTATTAGTTCTAGAAGTCAACTACTCTGTAGTTGAGACCCATGTGGGTCACCCATGCAGATAAGGAAACAGGTGAGTTAATAACTCTTTAGCAGCTTCTAAAAGAAAACCCGTAATGGTTTATTTTAATTCACACAACTGAAGAGATTTAGAAGTTAGGATGGGAAATATGATTCTACCTTTCTCTCCTGGACAGTTGACAAATGTATTATATTGAGAGTATCTTTGTGTTGTCGACAATAAACAAATTCAGTAGGGACTCAAGCAAAGAGCCTTATGCTCAGAAGAGCCTCATCCTGGAGCTAAAAAGACAAAAGGTTTTTGTCCTATAGAAGCTCTTCTTCTGAAGAAATTTTCTTCTCTGTAAATCGGATACACCATTGTGTGCTCTTTGATAAAATTTATTCAGTAAAGAATAGCAAGGGCCATAGCCATAGCCAAACCTAACCCAGGGCCTGGTTAAATGTGGTACTAGTTTGTAGAATGGAGAACAAATCAAATAGCAGAGGAGTCTTGAGGGAATAGACTAACTATGGGAGTTACCTGTAAAAATGTGATTGGAAGAGTTTCTAATAGGATACTACAGGAAGTGGGCTAGGTGATCCCATCTATTCCTTGGTTTCAGTTGCAAGTTTATGTGCAGAGAATTCTCAAATTCATACTTCTAGCCCAAATCTCTCTTCTAAGCTTCAAACCTAAAAATCCAGCTGCCATGTTATAAAAGAGTTCATGAATTTTTCAAACATTCTTCAAATCAAACATATCCCAAACTGACTTAATTATTTTTCCTTTTACCAATTCAAATTGTTCTTTCGTGAATGGTACTACCATCCACCCAATAGCCACCATTTACTTAATGGCAATCTGAATATTATCTCAAAGCCTCTTCTCTTTAAAAGACTTTATTTATTTATTTTCAGAGAGAGGGGTAGGGAGAGAGAAAGAGGGGGAGAGAAACAGCAACATATGTGAGAAACATCAATCTGTTGCCTCTCACACGAATGGGCCTGCAACTCAGGCATCTGCCCTGACAGGGAATTGAACTGGCAACCTTTCAGTTCACAGGCTGGCACTCAATCCACTAAGCCACACCAGCCAGGGCGATCTCTTTTTTCCTTACAGCTCACATTCAATTCTCACTACCTCTACCTTATTTCAGGCCACCATCTTTTATTGGGACTAGTGCAATGTCATCCTCATCAGTTTTCCAATTCACAAACCTGATTGAAAACTTCCTTTGCATATACTATACTCTGGTTTTCATTCCCAGCCTATGCCTTTGCCCAGATTATTTTCTTCACTGCAAAGCTCTGCTCTTCCCCCCTGTATCCACTTGATTCACTTCAACTTGTCTTTCAAGAAGCAATTTAGCCAAATTGCCCTCTAGAAAAGCCTTGCCTAACTTCCAACATGGAATGTAGTCAAGGAGTCTTTTATATTTGTTCACTTCTTTATTATATTTGTTCATTTGGGTATCTTGTCTATTTCACTAAAAATACCTAGGAGAAGAAAACTAGTTTTGTTCACTTATATATCCCTGGCACATAAGCAGCAAAACCTGTTAGTTTCTATCTCCTTTTCTCACGTCCTACCACTCATCCCTCGTGGTTTTGACCCTAACGGTACAAAAAACTCAGTTTCCCCAATATACCAAGCTCTGTTTTGCTTTCACGTGTTTGAACAGCTATTACCTTTGGCTGGAACGCACACCCCCTTCATGATTGCCTGGCTTGCTCCAGTTCTTTCAAAATTCAGTTCAACCATTACTTCTAGAAAGTTTTTCTTTATCTCCCCATGTATTTCTTTGTTTATCTGTCTTGCCTTTACTAGTCTTAGGAACTATGAAAGATCACATATTGGGGTTTTGTATATCAAACACTTAGCACAGGGCCTGCTTGTTAGGGGATCAAACATGTAATTAATTTAAATTGAACTGTTGGAAGGAACTGCTGCAGAAACTGTACCCCTGTCTATTTAGGATTCTTCACCAGCTGTACTGCCTTCTATAATGGGCTCTGGGGAAAGCCCAGAATGGCCCCAGTGGCCCTGGGATCCCAGCTCTGAACTCACCCAGGTCATCTGTGGAAGGCGTGATATCAGCCAGAACTGAAAAGGCACAAAACAGCAGGTGTAAGACGGGCTTTGAATTGTCAAGAAGGAAGGCAGCATGAAAAAAAAGGAGAATGGAGATATTAGGGCAAGGTCAAGCCTACAACTGGCTTTGTGTATTATCTCCAATGAGGTAATTGAAGTAACTGTGAATTTTTTTGCAGAGTATTTGTTTTATTGACATTATACTAATTTTGGGGAGCTTTTATCATTCATGCCTTATTTTAGCTATTAATCTACTTTGTTCCTCCTTCTAGAAGACTAGGGACCCCTCTTCCTTTTACCCCACTGTCACTCAGCAACATGCCCACCATCCCTCTATGTCTTTCCCAGAGATAAAAATATAGGATTAACTCAAGTGCTGGAGTAAATATTGTGAATATTGAGAATCATGCCATTTTCAAAGAACTAGTAAAACTTACCTGTTTCATCTGTAGGGGGTTCATTTACCAGATCTGCAAAGATACAACACAGAGAATAAAAAAATGCAGGTAGAAAGGGAAGCAGGATAAGGGATGATTATCTAAGGAGACAAGAAAGACTGAGGTGAAAGAATGTGGATTGTGGGGGCAAATGTAAAGGACTCACAGAAGGAAATGGAGGAGAGAAAAAGATTGGACATGTTTACAGCATCGGTGGCATCTAAGATAAACAGTAAGCTCTGCATGGTTCAGGGTGCCCACCAACCTCTTTTCTAGTCTTCGTTATTCTTTGTATAGACATCATCATCAATCCTCCTATCCCCAGTATGAAAGCAAAGAAATTAAAGGGGTAGCTTACTAGGATCGTCTGTGAATGTTTCTTGAGTCACTTGAGTTACTAAATAAAAAAATCAGAAAACATTTTCTGAGCACTCTCTTTACCCCTCCCATCCTCGCATTCCCAGTAAGTGAAATTGTCTAGCACAGTGGCCAACACAAAGTATCCCACAATTGTTTTTCTTTGTTTGTTTCCCAGCCCAAGTCCTTTCCTCTGTAACACAAACAAATGTCATAGTTTCCTACTTCCATGAATATACCCATGCAGTCCTTGGCTTAGAATAATGTTTTTCCTTTGTCTTTTTAGAGGAATGAATAAACTAAACTACAGGCCCATCAGATAATCCTCCACAGGCACCCCTTTCTCATTTAGATTTTGGTTCAGCATTAGATGGCAGGAAAAACTTACATTATTTTATTGTCCTAACAGATGATAAAATATTTGGCTAATCCAAGTTAACTATGTGCCAGGCACTGTTTAAATCCCTGTTTTTACAGATGATAAAACTGAGCACCAAAAGAATAAATAATTTACCCAAGATCATAGAACTTGTTAATAAGTAGAATGGATTGATGACCTTTTGCTATGCTTACTCAAAATGAAAATTATCTTTTCCTAAGGCATTGATTTTGATATTTATAATTCTGATGTAATTGGATATCAGTCTAATGATATGCTCATATACAAGGGTGTTCATAAAAGGTGAAGTTGGTAATTTTATGATGCTCAGTGAGAAGCAAGGTGAAGAGTGGGGAGGGAAACTGCATGTGTTAGTAGACAATGCCTTGCAATTAATTGATCTTGGAAATCAAAGGCAGGAGGAGAAGGAGTAAAAATAGTCCAGGACTTACAGTGGAATATACTGGGATAAACTAAGAAAATGGTATCTAGCCCTGGCTGGTGTAGCTCAGTGGATTGATCGCGGGCTGTGAACCAAAGCATTGCAGGTTCAATTCCCAGTCAGGGCACATGCCTAGGTTAAAGGCCATGGCCCCCAGTAACCGCACATTGATGTTTCTCTCTCTCTCTCTCCCACCCTTCCCTCTCTAAAAATAAATAAATTAAATCTTAAAAAAAAGAAAATGGTATCTAAAACTGTAAATAATAGCACTTCCTAGAGCAACTTCATTTGAATTAAAAAGGCAAAATAACAAAGCAGTGTTAACACTGAAATAGCAAATATGGACTCCCGGCCAAGATGAAGGTATAGGTAGATATGCTTTGCTTCCTTGTACAACCAAAAGAAGGATAACGACCAGTTAAAAACCCAAAACAAAAAAAAACTGCCAGAAAATCAAACTGTATGGAAGTCCAACAACCAAGGATTTGAAGAAGAAACATTTATCCAGACTGGTAGGAGGGATGGAGACAGGCAGCTGAGGCAGAGAGGACACAGGGCCAGGCAACGGTCAGCAGACTGGGCAGGCAAGGCAGCAGCTGGTGGACCAGGCATGTCCCACATTCATGTGCCAATAAACCAGAAGGAACAACTGAGGAGTGAGACATACTGCACGACCCAGGGTTCCAGCACGGGAAATAAAGCCTCAAAACCTCTGGCTGTGAAAATCCACAGGGGGGTTGCAGTGGTGGAAGAAACTGCCAGTCTCACAGGAGAGTCCACTGGAGGGTCCCACAGGGTGTTAGAATGTACACAAGCCCACCTACCTGAGAATAAGCACCGGGGCTGCTCCTGAAAGGACACAACTTGCTTGTGGGAAGCAGGGGAAGTGACTGAAAGCAGGGTGAGAGCCCAGCAAACAGCATTGTGTTCTCTCTGACCCCTCCCCCACATACAGCACCACGATGCAGCAAATTGGATTGCCCCAACCTGGCAAATCCTAAGGCTCCACCCCTTAAAACATAACAGGTATGCAGAGACAAAGAAATATGGCCCAAATGAAAGAACAGACCAAAACTCCAGGAAAAAAACTAAGCAAGGAGATAGCCAACCTATCAGATGCAGAATTCAAAACACTGGTAATTAGGATGCTTACAGAAATGATTTGAGTACGTGTGAAAAATAAAGGAAGAAGTGAAGGCTGTACAAAATTAAATACAGAAAAACATACAGGGAACAACAGTGAAGGGAAGGAAGCTGGGACTCAAATCAACGATCTGATGCAAAAGGAAGAAATAAACATTCAACCGGAACAGAATGAAAAAACAAGAATTCAAAAAAATGAGGAAAGGCTTAGGAACCTCTGGGACAACTTTAAATGTTAAACATCTGAATCATGGGGGTGCCAACAAAAGAAGAGGAAGAGCAAGAAATTGAAAAGTTATTTGCAAACATAATGAAGGAGAACTTCCCCAATCTGGCAAAGGAAATAGACATGCAAGTCCAGAACACTCAGAGAGTTCCAAACAAGTTGGATTCAAAGAAGAACACATCAAGACCATAATAATTAAATTACTAAGATTAAAGATAAGAAGAAAATCTTAAAAGCAGCAAGAGAAAAGAAGAGAATTACCTATAAAGGAGTTCCCATAAGACAATTAGCTGATTTCTCAAAAGAAATATTGCAGGCAAGAAGGGGCTGGATAGAAGTATCCAAAGTCATGAAAAGCAAGGGCCTACATCCAAGATTACTCTATCCAGCAAAACTTTCCTTTAGAATGGAAGGGCAGATAAAGTGCTTCCCAGATGAGATCAAGTTAAAGGAGTTCATCACCACCAAGTCCTTATTGAAATGTTAAAGGCACTATCTAAGAAAAAGAAGATGATCAAAACTTTTAACAGTAAAATGACAACAAACACAACTATCAACAACTGAAACTAAAAAATCAAAAACAAAAACAAACTGAGCAAACAACTAGAACAGGAACAGATTCACAGAAATAGAGATCACATGGAAGATTACCAGCGGGGGGCGGGGAGAATGGAGGAAAAGGTACAGGGAATAAGAAGCATAATTGGTAGGTACAAAATAGACAGGGGGAGGTTGAGAACAGTATGGGAAATGGAGAAGCCAAAGAACTTATATGTATTACCCACAGACATGAACTAAGGGCAGGGAGAGGGGTGATGCTGGAGGAAATGAAGGTACCAGGCAAAGAGGGATAAAGGGAAGGAAAAAATAAATGGGACAACTGTTTTAGCATAATCAATAAAATATACTTAAAAAAAAAAAACAAAACCCAAATAGCAAACATCCCATCTATAATGATCCTTCACTGTAGAAAGCTTATAGTCATAATCTATCTTACCCACTAGAGGTCAGCAAATTCACATAGTTTGGTTTGACCTTTTTTTTAACCTCAGTCTAAATGTCAGATTTAAATTGGATGAGAATAACGTTTTAATAAAGCACATCAGAGTTATTGATCATTGTGGTAGAAGCAAAACACAAAACATTATGAAGAAACTTGCCTCCCTCACCCCCCTTCCTCGCTAACTGCTTACCTCATCCCTTTTAAAAGAAATTCCAGACAGAAAAATCATTTGATCTGACAATAGAGAATTTTTGTCTTGAACACTCAGTATAAACTTTCTTTTTTCAGCACAACTATTGATGAAAGGAATCCAGGTCTCTTTCAATCCCACAGGATATTTAAAAAACCACTGACCTGAATCATTCCAGAGACTAGGAGGGGAGGGGAGCCTCTCGGGATGTAGTCCAGCCTGGCCCTGGTTCCCTTTCTCTAGCCACATTCCAGTCCAGCCACTCACAGAAACAGCAGGGAGAGCAAAGGGGTTGAGTGTGCGTCCCAGCTGTCTCAGGATTTCAGGACCCAGTACTGCTTTCCTGCATGTCTTTCAGCTTCCCCAGCTTCCCCATATCCCTTGTCTGCCTACCTTTTCCATGAGCTTCCACTATGTAAATAACTTGTCTAGAATGTATGTCCTCTGAAAAGAAAGCTTAAGGAGACATTTTCATCTTATGTTATAATATTTCTGATAGAAAAGCATCACAAGGTCATAAAATAGGACTGGACCTTACCCAGCCCAGAGAAATGAATTCAGATGTTTGGTTTTACTGGTGCTGAAATCTGATGACCTAGGTTCAGAAATTTAGGGATTCAGACCTATTCACTCACAACAGAGAAAAAACATTTTTATTTCTATATTTTTATCTTCTGTTCCAGAACTCACATGATATAAAAAATTATATCATGCTCCAGTGCATACATAAAACTGAAACAAGTTTAAAGATAATAATTTACTCTTGTGATAGACTTGCATGTACTCTATTTTTATTTTAATCTATTCTAATTCTTTTAAAAAATACCAGTTGGGATCCACTAATTTGATTTAATGACCTATTAATGGGTTACATACTGTTGTGCTCACAAGGATTGGGGAAAGTAAGAGATAAATTTTAATTACTATAGGGTATGCACTATACATGGGTATAATGCTTACATACCATGCACAATAATTCCCATGTATAATGTGCACAAAACATGGGTGCGTGTTATACATGGGGCACATTATACATGGCAATATACAATATGCTGAATGTTTGGAGGCAGAGTAGAGATGCTAACTGGAGTTTCCTTGTTTAAGTTGAAGGAAGCAATCCTTGGAAGCAAAAACTTTGGGGTTCTGTCCAATTGTGCCACAATTTCACAGTAGTGTTAAGATGACTTCTCATCCTGTCTTTGCATTTTAGTTTCTCCACTGTTATACATGGATAGGCAAATGCTTTCTGTTAGAATTAGTGGGTGTTTTTTGAGCAAGATAAGAATTGTATAGAGGAAAGCAGAAGCAAGAGATGGGCATAGAGGAGGTCTTGGGAAACATTTTTCAGTAGATTAAAAAAAAAGTTAAGGTTTTATGAATGGAATAATAGGATTGTGGAGAGTACTGAATTAGATCCTATTTCCCACACCTTGGCAAATATCTCTGTATTACTGACCACGCATTTATATAACCCCGATAAGCCCAGGTCCAAGGGTTTACCTACCTTCTCCTTGACCACTGACTCCTAGAGGTGTCCAGTTTGTACCAAAGGGAGGAGAAAAAGAGATGTGAATGATTCCAGCTCTATACCCCAAAAAGCTTTTATGAAATAAACCAGAAAATGATGGGGAAATGGTTGTACTTTATCTTTTTATGTGGTTCAATAAAAAATCATTCTGGTAATTAGTACTTCACACAAACATGGAAAAACTCAAGAAAGACAATGAATTCCTGAGAACCCCTGCTCCATTTACCCTGACTCAGCATGCCTTCTCGCTCTCATTCCCAGCAGAAGGAATGGGGTCCTGTTCCACAGGGAGGGCCCACAGCCTTTTTCATGTGGCCTGTCCTTCTGTCCCCACAGACATCCCACTAGCTGCACTGCTGAGCAAGGCAAAAAAAATTGCTTTCTCAAAGTCTCTATCTGGCAGAATAAGACAATCCAACAGAGTAGGATTTTTTTTTTTAAATCCATCGTTCATTTTCTATGGCTGATCTTTTAACCAGCTTCTGTGAAATCTGTGAAGATCATTTTCCTTTTGTGTATAGATTTGGCACATATTTTTGGTGTGTGTGTGAATATATATATGTGTGTGTACACTGGTGCCAGTGTGTGTTACATGTTACTGTTTTTCTACAGGATTTAAATTTGGTCTAGTTTCTTATCAGGTGGTCTCTATATGTGTGTGCATGCATTTGTGTTATTAGCTTCTTTTTCCTTTGGTATTTGTTTACTTGGGTATTTATGTGTGTGACCCTCTTTTGGATAACATGCATTTGTGAGTAACTTCATTTCACTTTAGTTTCATAACTCTTGGTGTATCTTTTCCCAAGTCTGAGGTCATCTCTTGCCATATCCCTGCCCTTTTTTCTTTAACACAAAATCTATTCCTTTCTTCCCTTTCACAGCAATTCTGGAACTCAAGAGCAAACATCTCTCTCCCAGTTCCCCTCAACCTCCTTTCATTCCATTCTCTAACATACGCCTCCAGACACATGTATAGCTGGGGAGCTAGCATTTCATGAAGAAAAGAATAAAGGTAGAGACTCACCCGAGGGAATGATGAATGCAGTGAGAAACAGCAGCACCGTGTGTCCCAAGAGCAGCATATCTAACAGGGTGGTGGGAAGAGCAGACACTGTAATGCTCAGACACATCAGCATCTTAGTTCTAGGAAAGGATGTCTGTGGCCCCTGTCTCTTTGTCCTCCCAGGAGCTTTCCTGGTCCCCCATATGATTCAAACTGTTTCTCTCTTATCTTTCCCCCAACATTTAGTTCCCAATTTAAAGCCCATTCTTTGATCACTTACCGTTCTCTCTCCCATTACTTATTTCTACCAAGTCAGGAGAAATTTTATGTTCTAAATGGTCCATACTTGCCCCTACGCTGTGGTTTCTTTCACCCCTAGGGTCTGATCTTATCTTTTGACGTCTATGTCTTGTATATATCATCTGCTCATTTTCACGTCTTCTTTCATTTGAATTTCATGAATTCAAATGAATTGGGGCATCTGCTCAATTTTAAATGCAGTGACATTCCCCATTGCCCCCCTCCAACCCTTCAATGCATACACACATACACACACATGCACACACACAAATACACACACTCTGTCTATTCAGAGTTTTATACAATCAAACAACTCACTGTCTATGGTCCTCTGCTCTTTCCACCGAGTCCTTTGGCTGCTGACTGTGTCTCTCCCCTTCTCACGCTATTCCCACTTTGGCTGGAGAGTAAGATGAACAGGGCCACTCCCTGGGAAGGACTTCAAATTTGGCCTCCTGAAACAATGAGATGAGGGAGAGTGAGAGAGAGAGAGCAAGAGAGGGAGAGAACAAGAGAGTGAGAGAGAGAGCCAGGCTACAGGAGTGCAATGAGGCTGAAATGAGAAGGGGGATGGGACTTTGCAGTCACTCACACCCTCATTCCAAAGGTTATGACCACATTGGTGAGAGATACTGCTGTTCCTTAGAAGGGTTGGCCCAAGTTCGTGTATGCCTTTCTTCCATGAGCTTATTTTCCCTCTCGCAATCTGGCCCCCCCACCCCCTACACCCCTTCCCTGGGGTTTCTTCTTACCTAATTGGTTCTACCTCATCCTTGGAATGTTTTACTGCACATTACCAGAATCTGTTCCTATCTATGACGATCTTCCCTGTTTGAATCATTTTTGCATCCTCCTTCCTTGCTTTGTTCTTTTTGGAAATTCCTCTATTCAACACCAACAGATTTCTCTGTATCCCTGTATTTATCTTCTCTCTTTGACTCTTTCTTGACCCATACATTCAGACTCTTGTTTTTTTCTTCCCCTAGAAATCGTATTTATTCCCACATCCAACCAAAAACAGACACTGTATGAGTTCTGTCCAAGAAGAAGGTTGGTTGTCTTAGGGTTGGAAAAAGTTGAGGAACACAGTACCCCCTGTATCATTTTGAAATGTGGAGGAGCTCTGTGAGAGGAGGTGCCAGCTGTATTCTGTCTTTTGGCTTTAAGTTTTTGCTAAGAATCTTGGTTTCTGGAGTCTTAAGTACAAAAATGCCAACAGAAGCCCAAAGAAAACTGAGAGCCAAGTTTGTGTTTATTTGCTTGACTTACTTTCCACCAGTACTTTTCCTCATGTCGTGTAATATGTAGACAATACTTTCTCAGATCCAGGAGTTTTAAAGGTTTTGTATTTGCTCTTATTCATAGAAACTCCACGGTTAGACCATTAAAGTGTCTCCACTTTGCCCCTAGCATTGTGGCTCAGTTGGTTGAGTGTCATTCTGTACAGTGAAAAGTCACCTGGTCTTTAGTCAGGGCACATGCCTGGGATGTGGATTTGGTCCCTAGTCGGGGCACCTACATGAGGCAACCAATCAATGTTTCTCTCTCATAGCAATGTTTTTCTCTCTCTTTCTTTTTTCCTTCTCCTCTTTCTAAAAATAAATAAAATCTTTTTAAAAATACAATAAAATTTCTCCACTTTGAAGAGAAACAACCTGAATTATAGAAACTCATATGTGAGGAGTGGTTAACCTTATATGCACTTGAAGTGTGTAAGTGTCAAGGTGTCTGTTCAGTCCTGTAGCCTATGCCATGTATCTCCCTAATGAGCTAACTTAGAGAAGAGTACAGATGGACACAGAGAGCAGGTAGTTTTAATCAGTTCAAGACCAGAAGAAAGGAAGGTAAATGACAAAGGAAGGAGGGACAGAAGGGAAGGAGGAAGGAAAGACAAAAGCTAACTTTTACCTGTTTTTTTTAGCTGTTTAGTGGAAGGAAAAGAGAGCAATGGACATAATGAGATGTAAGCAAGTGGCACCTCTGGTTCCTTTGAGGGAGATGTTAGTGTTCCATTTTTGAGATACATGGATTTTGCTGAGTCCCTAGAACAATTGGAGTACAAACCCAGCTCTTTACTGATCTGCTTGGCCCAGAACTTGCACTTCTTCCATCTGCTCTGCAGTGAGAGTACAGAGGCTGGAAAACAGATGTGATTGTAGTCTGGGGAGAGTCAGGGAAAGCAAAGGCAGGGGTGGGGGTGGGGGTGGGGGAAAAAACAAAAAAGGCAGATGCAAAGCAGACCTAAGCAGGACATATAATAAAGAGCCTAGAGCAACAATCATGTTTTCCATGAAGTTCAGACAGATGGAGAAACTGAACTAAGGCCAATCATTTGGCAGGGACAGCAATGACCTCAATGTGCTGGCCTGGCTAGAGACTGTGGTGCAGGAAAGCCTCCCCAGGCAGTGGGAGGGGGCGCTCTCCTGGGGTCCTGGGAGGGAGTCTGAAGTTAGGGCAGTGAAAATGGAACAGAATGTTTACAGCCAGGCAGAGGGAGAAGGCAGGCAGGGAGCAAAGGAAAGGAGAGGAAGCAAAGCGAGAACTGGTAGAAGAGCAGAAACCACCATCTATTCCTGGGCCTCAACAGCGTGTAGGAATGCAGTTTGTTTCAAAGTACTTTGGTTATTTTTTTTTCCTTCATGGCAGCTATGGCAGCTCCCCATTTGTTTTGGAGCCCAGGCTTGGATCCCTAGGTGAGGAGAACCTCAGATTTACTTTGCCGGAGGTGATTTGGTCAAACACTGTTCTATTATGTTATCAGTTTATCATTGAATTACATGAAGTCAGAGTCAGTATCATTGGTCAAAAACGAGCGACTGTCAACCACACATGTGAGCCTATAATTTTCTGAGGTGCTCACTGACGCTGGGGAAGAGCTCTCTGGGCAGCAGAACTCCTGTTAGACTCAGACCAGGTCTCTCCTGGGTAAAGAGCACATTCTCCAGCAACAGGAAAGTCCTCCATGGAAATCATGGGCAGGTGCAGAACTGCCTTTAATAAAGGCAACCTAATGTTTGAGTTACTTAGGAAAATTTTAGTTTTCAAAAAAGGTCTCCAAGCAATGGAAGATGGGCAAAGTGCGAAGGAAGAGAAGGGAGACATAGATAGAAGACAGCACACTGGATTTATTCATCTGTTTATTGGCCTGTGAAGAATACACCCACTAGCTGAAGGCCTCTGGGCAAATGTACAGAAATGTTATTACTATGTCCAATCCAACTAAATTAAACCCAGGGCCTAAACACACACATACAAATGTCCATAAAAGGAAGGAAAGGAGGGAGGAGGGTTATATGAGGTGGGGGTGGAGGGAGGGAGGGAAGAGAGAGCAGTGTGTGTAGAGGAATGAAGCAATAGAGTCGAGACAGCCAAATCGAAAAGATGGACTCAGCACAGGAGTTAGGAGGCAGCCAACATATGTCCTCAGAAAACTTGGGCTCCGGAGAACTCCCCGCTTCTTAGTACTCCATACCTGTGATCACACACTGTTCTTCATGCCTCTGCACATCACACTCACTGTTTCTTTCTTTCTGTGATATCCTTTCCCCAAGTCTAGTAGCTAAAGGCTTCTGTGTACACGAAAGTCCAGGTTAGAGGCTGCCTCTTCGCTTTGCTTCTTGGCCCCCTTTGCTTCTAAAGAATTAACCATCCCTTCTATTGAGCAACCTCTTTGTTTTTAATAATTGTGTCATCAACTTTTTATATTCTTTTGCATATTCATGTTTTGGGTTAGACTGAGAGTTCTTTGATAGCAGAGGCTAAATTTTACTTACCTGTACCTAACAACTCACAATTGTGCCATTTGAATTGAATTGAGGTGAAGACTTGAAGTAGTAATTTCCTATTTCAAGATAGGAACATTCAATATCTGAGTCAAATGCAAAGAAGTAGAGGATAAAGTTCTAAGAAGAAAGTAGTTTGAGAGTACAGCAAGTGGAACGACTGGACAATGCGTTGACGGGACAGCGGGGGAACAGAAGAAGAGGAGATAGGCAGAGCAAGTGAGCAACAGTTATCCCAGAAATGAAGGAATTTCAGCATGAAGGCTGTCATTAAAATCAGCGCATGTAAAACGTATGTAACTTAATGTCTACAGTAATTAGTGCTTTTGTCTCATTCTGCTTTGTATACATATTCTGATGGTGCTAGTTGTCTTGCGTTGTTACACCCACACTCCCTTGACCATGAAAACAGAAAATGCTTGATCCAAGTCCAGGATTCTGTTAAGGTTCCTGAAACAGAACCCATAACAAAAGTTTTGAATAAACAACAAAACTGGCTACACACAAACAAAATAGGACAAATATTAGAAATTCATTAACATGGAGGAAATCTCCATCTTCCCTTCCTACCCATACATAAAAAACCCAGTCAAACAAAAACAGAAAGAGTCTGGAATTTGCAAATATGGAAAAAAAACAGGAAAGTCTATATTTCCATAATTATTCACAAATGTATATAGTTATTTGGTTTATTATAGTTATATGATTAATATATACTTATATTTTTTATAGATTATATGGGCTGGGTAGCCTGCAAGGTGGCTGCCAACGATCCCTACCTCCTATTCTCCAGGCCCTTATGCAATTCTCACCCTTCAGCATGGGTGAATTCAGGGACTACTAGCAAATAGAATGCAGCAGAGACAGCGGGACTTTGGCTTCCAGTTCTGGGCTTCTCTCCTGATCTTTTGCTTGCTTGTTTGCTCTGAACAAAGCCAGCTGCCACGGTGTGAACTACTCTATAGAAATGCCCATGTGGCAAGAATGAATGTCTCTAGCCAACAGCCAGCAACCTAAAGCCTGCCAAAAAGCCATGTAAATGAACTTGGAAGTGGATATTCTCTGTTGAGGCTTGAGAAGAAGATGGGGGGCTGGGTGAAAAAGGTTAAGGGATTAAGCAAAAAGAAACAAAATAGAAAAGTACAACATACAAATGATGTATTATAGAATCATATACCTGAAACCTATATAACTGTATTAGTCAATGTCACCCCAATAAATTCAATAAAAAAGAAGAAGACTGTAGCCCCAGATAGCACCTTGACTATATAGCCTTGTGAGATGCCCTGAGCCAGAGGCACACAGCTGAATTGTCCTTGGATTCCTAATCGACAGAAACTTTGGGAACATAAATGTTTGCTGTCTTAAGCTTCTAAATAGATAACTAATATGTCCTATAATTACAATTCTATACATAATTATTTTATCTATTATATAAATATAATGTGTGTATTTATAACTATATAGTATATAATATAATTATTAAGATAAAGGATTGTAAATTAGCTGTTATGTATGTTAGTTATAATATATTAGTTAATTATAATAACTAATGTTTATGGAACACTTACAATATGCTAGGCCCTGTGCTAAAAAGTATGATTATGCTCCTTTTAAAATTAGTATGTTCAGAGGAAAGGAAAAAGAGAGATTACAGAAATCTATCTATGAATCCTAATTCATTATGATTCTCATGTGAATCATAATTTACTATGAATCAAACACTTTATTAATTTAATATTA